GAGGCGCACGCGCTCGAGACGGCGGCGCTCGCGGGCGCGCCCGCCGCGCCCGCGATCCGCGCCGCGGGGCTCCGCGGCGTCGCGCGCGGCCTCGGCCGCTGGGCGCGGCGCCGCCGCGGCGCCGCGCTCCGGGCCTGGGCCGCCGCCGCGCGCCGCCGCGCGCCGCCGGCGCCGCCGCCGGGCGGCGGCGCGCCGCCCCTCGACGTCTCCACCATCCACTCGAAGATCCGGTCCATCCGCGTCGCCGACCGCAAGTCGGCGCTCGCGGACATGCTCCACGCGACGGAGCTGCTCCACCACGCGGCCGCGCGGAACCAGGAGGCCAGGCAGCTCGACGTGCAGCTCGCGTAAACGTCGCGTGGCTTGAAGTGTCGCGCTAGCGTTACCAGCACCGTCACGGTGACGGCAGCATCGTGCGGCCGCTACGCCGCCGTCGCGCACGAGTCGCGTCTCCGGAGCGCCCGCCGTCGTGGAACGGGCAGCCCAAAACCATGGACGCGTCGAACTACGACCCCATGGCGGCGCTGGACATGGAGAAGCGCACGGGCATCAAGCACGCCGACATCGACGACTTCCTCGAGCGCGCCAAGGCCGTGGAGCAGAAGATCGAGGACATCAGATCGGGCAAGATCTCCGTCGAGCAGCTCGCCGCGGAGCAGGAGGCGGAGCTCCGGGCGAAGAGGGACGCCGAGGCCGCGAAGATCAAGCGCCTCGCGGAGATCGCCGAGCGCGAGAAGCTCCGCAGGGCCAAGGAGAAGGCGGAGGAGCGCGAGAGCTGGTGGCGCGGCGCTGACGCCATGTACGGCGACGGCGACGACGAGCCGAGCGACGCCATCGAGCGCGACGACGCCGACGAGTCCGCCAAGGACGCGCGGCTGCGCAAGTACGAGAACGACTACGGCCGCTGGAACGAGGGCCGCTGGACGCCGAAGGACCCCGCGACGCTCGAGGAGGAGGCCGCCGTCGAGAAGGAGAAGACGGACAAGGAGAACGCCGTCTTCGAGAAGAACAACAAGGAGTTCTGCGACAACTTCATGGCGGACATGGAGGTGCGCGAGAAGTCGAAGCAGAAGAAGGACGACACCGCGACGGCGACGCGGCTCAAGGGCAACCGCTACTTCAAGGCGAAGAAATACGACGACGCGCTCAGGCTCTACCGCGAGTCCCTCGGCGTGCGGCCCTACGAGAAGACGACGCTGCTGAACGTGGCCCAGGTCTTCCTCAAGATGGCGCTCTGGGACGACGCGCTCGAGTTCGCGAAAAGGGCCGTCGTCGTCTCGAGACGGGAAGGGCCGGACTTCCACGCCAAGGCCCTCGCGCGGCGCGCGGCGGCGCTGGAGCGCACGGGGGACCTCGACGGGGCCGCGGCGGACCTCGACGACGCCCTGGCGCTCCTGAAGCACCAGACCCACGCCGCCGCGGAGGACGCGCGCTGCGCCGTGCTCCGCCAATTGAAAATCGTCGAGCAGGCGCGGCGCGACGCGGCCGCGGAGGCCCGCGCCGTCGACGAGGCCGCGGCGCTCGCCGAGGCCGCCGCCGGCGCGCCACAACTCAGCGACGCGGAGAAGACGAAGCGGGACAGCGAGGAGCTGCTCGCCGCGTTCTCGAAGATCGCGGCGAAAACGGAAGGCGGCGGAGACGCGGTGCTCGACCACGCGCTCAAGATGATGGAGGAGACGGGCCGCGGCGAGTCGCTCCGGGCCGTCGACGACGTCCTCGAGCGCGACATCGCGAGCCTCGGCGACGACCGCGCGGCCGACGTGTCGAACCTCGCGCGCCTCGCGGCCGCGCTCCGCAGGGCAGCACAAGAGAGCGAAATTCCCAACTTCAAAGGCTCATATCTCGGCCGTTTTCCACTCGTTTCGGCTGATTTTTGGACGAGCGATCATCTCTCGGAACGGCCTCGAAGCGTGGATGTGGTTTTCGTAACGCGCGCGCGCGAAACACTCACGTTGAAGCGACGTTGAATCACCCTTGTGCTGCCCAGGCGCTCCGGTCGTCGGCGGACGCGCGCGCGCTCTGCCGCGTCCGCGGCGGCCTCGGCGCGCTCCTCGGGCGCCTCGGCGCCACGGAGCGGCCGGACGCGGGCGCGCTGGAGCAGGCCTACGACGGCGGCTTCGACCTCGGGGACGGCGGCATAGGCGCCGGCGACCTCGACGCCGCGGCGGCGGCGCCGGCACCGCCGGCGACGGGCGCGGCCAAGGCGCTCGTGCTGTCGACGCTCGCCGCCGCCGTGCGCGGCGAGCCCAAGTCCAAGGACCTCGCCGTCGACGGCGGCGCGCTCGAGGAGATTTTGACCGTGTTTGCAGACGACGGCGGCCACTTCGAACACGACGCCGCCACGCGCGCGTCGGCCTGCGAGCTCGTCGCGGAGCTCGCGGCCGCCGACGGCGCGTCGGACCGCGCGCGCGGCCTGCTGGCGGCGCACCTCCCGCTGCTGCGGCGCGTCGCGGCCCTCGCGCGCGCGGGCGGCCCCGCGCTCGCGCGCGCGCGCGCGACGCCGGACCAAGCAAAGGCCGCGCTGCCCGAGGTCGCGGCGGCGGCCCACGCGCTCAAGTGCCTCCGGGACCTCGCCGAAGACGAGGCCGCGCGCGCGACGCTGCTGCGCGTCGGCGACGAGGGCGACGTCGCGGTCGTCGAGGCCGTCGCCGTCGCCGCGAAAGCCGCGGTCAGTGTAAAAGCCGCGGACCGCGCCGCGGCGGCGCGCGCGGCGGCGAAGACCCACGCGAAGAACCCCATGGCGGCCATGGGCGACCCGGCGGCCATGTGCGAGGCCATCGCGGGCGAGCTCGCGGACTACGGCTGCGCGTGTCTCGCGCACCTCGCGTTCTCGGAACAATTCCGCCCGGCCTTCGCCGTCGCCGTCGCCGGCGCGCGCGACGCCCGGGCGACGCCCGCGGGCATTTTGCTCGCCGCCGCGCGCGACGCCGGCGAGGCGCCCGAGGTCCGCGCGTCCGCGCTCGCGGCCGTGACGAACGCGTGCCTCGGTGCCGAGGGCGCGCGCGCGGTGCAGGCCGCCGAGGCCGCCGGCGGCGTCGCCGTCGCCTACGCCTTCGTGCGCGCCGGGCGACGACGTCCGCGCGCGCGCGGCGGGGCTCCTCGCGCGCCTCGTGACGGCCGCGGGCCACGAGGGCTCGGCCGCGCGGACGCTCCGGGCCGCGCCGGGCGCGCTCCCGGCGCTCGCCGCCGTCGTCGCGGCGCTCTCGAAGCTCCGGGGCGACGCGCCCGCGGCGGAGGAGCGCGACGCGCTCGTCCGGGCCATGGCCGGCGCGCTCGCGGCGGACAAGGACCCCGACGGCGCCGTGCGCAACTTCCACGCCAAGGGCGGCTACCGCGTCCTCGCGGCGATCCTGCCGCGGCCCCGGGCCGACCTCGGCGCCGTCACGGCCACCTCCGTGTCCCAGCCGCCCGTCGACGGCACGCGCGTGTCGCCGTCGTGCGCGTGCAACGCGGCCAAGGTCCTCCTCGCGGCGCTGTCCAACGACGACGCGGGCCTCCGCGGGGCCGTCGCCGCGGACCTCGCGGCGCACGGGGGCATCGAGAAGCTCGTCTGCTGCCTCGCGAACTACAAGGAGATGCCCGTGCGGCGCAACTGCGCCGTGTGCCTCGCGAAGCTCATGGCCATCGACAAGGACCTCGCGCCGCGCGTCCGCGAGCTCCGCGGCGTGGAGATGATCACGACGCTCGGCAACGCGCTCATCGCCTAGAGGGCGCCCGTCCTAAGGGTGTCGTCGTATGATATCTCGCCTAAGGAGCATCCAAAACGCACCCCGCACTTGGGCATGATCCCGATAGGCCCCTGTTTGGGAGTCAGTGGGGGGAGTAAAAAAAAAAAAAAAAAGGGAGGGGGGGGGGGGGGTCGGTGGTTCTGGAGCTACCAGGGTTGCAGCGGAAGCGAGCGGTCCGTGAAGATGCGCAGCTTGCCCTCCTCGGTGACGTAGGCGCGGAGGTACGCCTTGAGGCCGTAGGGCACGCCCGCGGCCTCGCCCGCGCCGCCGAATCGGTGGACGCACGTGAACAGCTTGACAAAGTCTGCGCGGCCGCCGGCGAAGCTGTCGGGGTCCGCGGTCACGTGGGTCTTCCGCTTCTCGTCGTAGATGAGGATGGTGCCCGACGTGGTCCGCGGGTCCACGTGCGCCGCGGGACCCGCGGGCATCGGATTCGAGACCTTAACGACTATCTCTTTGTCTGCCGTGCGGTCCTTGTTTGCGCGGACCTTGCCGGATTTGCCGCCGCTGAGCGAAATTCTCTCCGTGACGCAGCCGCTCGGGTCGATGCCCATCGCGGCGAGGCGGCCGGCGAGCGCGTCGGCGCTCGGATCGACGTCGACCCAGTCGCCGCCGTCCTCCGGCGGAGCGCAGACCTGCTTGTGCGCGGGCCAATGGCTCCTCTGGCACGTCGCCGAGCAGTAGATCTTCGCCTTGCACCGCGAGCACGCCTTCGTCGCCGGCCGCCCGCACGCGAGGCACCCCTTCGCCGCGCGACCCGCCGCCCACCCGAGCGGTGCGAGGACGCTCGCCCGGGCGCCCGCGACGCGCGACTGGCGCGCCGCAACGAAGGACGGGCTCAGCGCGGCCTGGTTGAGCGCCAGCTCGGCTTCGAGGGCCTCGACGGCCGACGCGGTCGGCGGCGTGATCTCGCGCGCGCCCGTCATGCCCGGAAGCTCCGACCGGATGAAGGCGGCGAAGGCGGCGTCGGCGAGGCGCCTCGGCATGTCGCGGACGGCGAAGGACACGGGGATGACGGGGCTCTCGCCGGCAGCGCGGCAAAAGGGCCGGCCGATTGGGACGACGAGGAGCACGCGCGTGCCAGCCGCTCGGTCGCGGAGCGCGAAGCCCGGAGAATTGCCGGAGCTGGCGGCGTCGAGGATCCGCGCCATGGCCACGAGGCACATCTGCGCGTCGCCCGCCGCGCCGGCGCCGGCGGGAATCGGGGGCGCGAACGCCTCCGCCGTCGGTCCGCGCCACGCCGGAAGCTCGAGGGGCTCGAGGCCGCCGAGGACGCCGCTCGGCGCGGAGATCGGCGACGGCGCGGGCGCGGGCGCGGGCGCGGGCGCGCGGGCACTTCCCGCCCAGCCCCGCCGCGCGAGCAGGCTGGTCTTGGCACCGGGCATCGCGTGTGGCCACCTGGGCAGCACAAGGGTCGTTCAATGGCACTTCACGTTTGAACCATCGATTGTCAAAGGAAAGACGCTTCCGAGCGCGGGGATGGGAGCCTTTGAAGTTGGGAATTTCTCACCCTCGTGCGGCCCCGGAGGCCGCCGCCGCGCGAGGAAGTCCGGCGCGATGGCGGCCGCGTTCGCCTCCAGCTCGCGCACCACCCCGGCCAACGCGCCGGCCGAAGCCGAGATCTGGGTCATCTGAGAACCGTCGTCTGTCGCTTGGAGCGCCTGGACAAAGCGCTGCACGTCGCGGGGGAATTGCCAGTTACTCCAGTGCACGACGATGACGGGCTCCGTCCCGGCGGAGAGCACACAGTGGAACTTGCCGTCGAGCCGAACGCAGTCGATGATCAGGTTCGCGGCACCGGGACCCTCGGCGTCGACGCAGAGACGCACGTGCGACGCCGCCGCGTCCGCATCGTGCGCGGCCTCCACCAGCCCGCTCAGCGCCGACGCGGCATCGTAGTGCTTGCGCACGCCCCCGGACCGCGCCCAAGGCAGCGATCCCGTCCAGTCCGCAAACGTGGACGGATCCAGCGGATCGTAATCGTACGCGCTGCCCCACTCGAGCTTTTTGTTTGACATGCACGTTTTGCATTTTCGCTTCGCGGCCTTCGCCTTCAGCTGCTTGGCCGAAAATTCTGAACATCGCACGTCCAAGCCGCAGTGGCCGCACCTACGAGTCTCCGCAGACATCTGGCACTAGATCGAGCTGGGGCTGCTTCACGAAGACTTCGTGCTTCAATTGCACTGATAACGAAACGGGGCTGCCCGGGCCCTCGATCAATATGGCCCGGCTGGTTCGCATCCTCGCGGCCTTCATGATCGCGCTCGCGGAGCCGCTGGAGCCGGCCGCGCGCGACGGCTGCGCCGCCGACCGCGCGCCGGCCAACGCCGAGGCCAACGCCACCAACGCCAACGCCACCGCCACCGCCGCTGCGCCGGCCGCCGTCGCCGCGCCGCTGGCGGTCTACGACGGCGTGCTGCCCGAGGCGCTGCTCGGCGAGCTCGTCGCCCGGGTCGGCGCGCTCAAGGCCGCCATGGGGCCGTCCAGCGCCCGGGGCACGGCGTCCTGGGCGACGCTGCCCCTCGAAGAGACCGCGCCCGGAGCGGACCTCGCGGTCGACGCGACGCGCTTCGTCGCGGCCGCGTTCGCGGACGTGCTCGCGCCGCTCGGCGCCCGGTCCGTCAAGTGGGTCATCCACCGGCGGCGCCGGAGCGAGCCGCTCCAGTTCCACTTCGACTCGGCGCCCGCCGAATCCGGAGCGCCGCGCGCGACGCTGCCGCTCGCGAGCGTCGCGCTCTACCTCGTCGACGACGACGCGGCCCTCTTCGCCGCGCTGCCGCCGCGGCTCCGCTGCGACGGCATGGCCGTCGTCGACGGCGACCCCTCCTGCGACGTCGCCGCGCTCGAATCGGGCGCCGTGCTCGCGCCGACCGTGTTCGCGGAGGCGACGCTCGTCGCGCCGCGGCGGGGCCGGCTCGTCGTCATGCCCCGCGGCGACGTGCTGCACGGCATCCTCCCCGCGCCGGACCGGGCCGACGGCGCGACGCGGGACGTCATCACGTGGACCTTCTACGGGTCCTCCCGGGCCGCGGCGACGGCCGCCGCCGTGGCGCACGGCGCGCCGTTCGCGGCGGCGCCGCCGCCGCCGCCGCCGACGGCCGCCAAGCGGGACGTCCTCGCGGCGACGACGACGGCGCGGATCAAGCTGAAGATCCCCGTCGTCCGCCGCGAGGCGCACTACGACCTGCCCGTGCCGTCGCTCGCGGCGCGCGCGGCGTGCGACGTGTGCCGCGTCGAGTTCGCGACCGTCGACGTCGACGCGGACGCGGCGCCGCCGCCGGCGCGCGGGCCGCCGCCGCCGCCGCGGCGCCGCGGGCGGCGCCGGGCGCCGGGGCGCGCGGAGCTGTGATAACGCGGTTAGGGCCTGCGCGTCTCTCAGGTTGAGCCTCACGGCAATGGCAAAATCGCTCAAAATCTTACACCCCGGGCTAAGCTTACCCCTGGCTCTAGCATCATGTCGTTCTCCATGCTCCCTCGGCGGCGTCGTCCTCGCGCCAGGCAGGCTTCGCGTTCAAGAACGCCAGGCACCAGACCGCGAAGGTCGGCGCGGAGAGGAACGCGGCGACGACGACGCCAAGGCCAAGCACGACTCGACCGCGCGCAAGCGCAGCATCTCGGGCTCGGGCGACGACGAGGCGTAAATTAGGCTATACTCGCGCGTCGAGGTGCGCGAGGGCCTTGATAGAGTTCTCGTCGCCCTTGGCAGCGGCGCGCTCGAACCAGTATCTGGCTTTGCCGAGGTCGACTTCCGTGCCGTCTCCGTCCATGTAACAGCAGCCAAGGTTATTCTCTGCAGCGGTAAAGCCTTGATCCGCCGCGAGCGTGAGGTACCGGAACGCTTCTTCAAATCTCTTCTCAGCATCAAGTCCACGCGCTAAATTGTATTGCGCGACCGCGTGGCCCCGATCTGCGGCCGTGCGATACAGCCGCTCCGCCTTCTTTTTGTCCAGCTTGACGTTAGTTCCATTCTCGTACAATGCCGCAAGGTTAATCATCGCGTCCACATCTCCGAGCTCCACGGCGCGCCGGTAAATCCTCGCGGCTTTCTTATCGGATTTCACGAGGCCGTAGTAACCGACGCGGTAGGCAACTCCCAAACACGTAATGGCTTCCGGCACCTCGTTCTCCACATGGCGGCGAAGACGCGCGAGCTGCTCCGCACCGCTTCCTAGCGGTAAACGACAGAGGGGACACGCGCCGAAGCCGATCTTGTCCTCGCATGATTGGCAGACGTTTCGGCAGCAGCAGGTGCGAAGCACGGGCATCGCATTCACGTCCCACTCCTCGAGACAGATCGGGCACCGCGAGCCCCACCGCGCCGATGTCGGCACCGGTTCCGGGTTCGCCTCGCGCCGCGCCCGGGCGGCTTCGTGTTCCGCCGCGATGCGCGCGCGGACCTCGTCGGCGTGCGACCGCGGCGCGGGGCCGTAGAACACCTCGCGCGGCGGCGACGGCGGGGGCGTCGGCGCCTCGGCCCGCGCCGCCTCCGCGGCCTGGACCTTCTTGCAGGCCTTCCGGTGGCCCCGGTCGCGCCAGTCGATGCGTTGGCAGTCCGTCGAACAGTAGGCCGTCGTGCCGCACCCTTTACAGGGCCGGGCATCCTTCTTCCCGCAAATCGTGCATATGTTGAGCGCCAGCTTCGTACGGTTTTTTCGCGCCTCGTACTCTCGCTTCTTCTTGATCAATTCCGGGTCCATGGCCTCTGACCGCGCGAGTCCTTCTTCGCTTGAGCTCGTAGATCGTCTACTCGAGCGAGTGGGGCACAAAATCCCACAGCCCGAAATCAGCGAAAGAGACCTCGCCGAGCCCTGGCCTTCGTGCACGGCATCTCAAGCACCTCGCTCGCGTTCGAAGGCCTATCCGAGAGGTGCTATGCGACGGCACGCCTGGACGACACTTCAAGATGATTTATTTGAAAATTCAATGTAGATGTTTCTCCTAAAAAAAGAAGGCAGACCTCCTCGAGCTGTGATAACGACGCGGTTAGGCCTCGCCGCGGAGCTTGCGGAGGCGGTCGGACGCGGGCCGCCGCGACCCGCCGCCGGCCGCGGACGCGTGCGCGGCCTTCTGGGCCATGTACTGGGCCATGGAGTCGTCGACGTTGCGGTCCGCCGCGCGCTGCGCGTCGCGCTGGGCCCGCCGCTCCGCGTCCGTAACCGCGGGCTTCGCGGGGGGCTGCGCGGGCTCCGCGGCCGGCGCGGCGCGGAAGTCGAACATGGCGCCGAAGGCGTCCGCGTCGTCGTCGTCCGCGGGCGTCGGCGACGGCGCCTTCTTCGCCGGGGGCGTCGGCGGCACGGGCGTCTTCGCGGCGCCCCGGGCCTTGGCCAGCGCGACCTTGCCCGCGGGCGCGCGCTCCGGCGGGCACACGGCGAGCTGGACGGCCTCGAACCACGACGGCGCGCCGCCGCGGGGCCCGCGGACCTCGTAGGGCACCCTGCTCAGGTCGTCGTTGAGGATCTCGCCGACCTCGTTGCCGCGGATCGCCGGCTCGTTGGCGCCCTGGCGCTTGACGAGCGCCGGCGCGGCGTCCTTGTACTCCGGGAGCGAGTTCCTCAGCACCTGTGCCGAATTCAAATCTTCAACTCGACTTCAATGTGCGCATCTGCGACAGTTTCGACGCAACCTCTTCGGCTTTGCTTCGAGAACTCGACGAGAGCAATCGATTCGTCCAAAAATCAGCCGAATCGACTTCGATTTGACCGAGCTAGAGAATTCTGAAGTTTGGTCAGGACCACCCAAACCAGCGGTTGAATTCGGCACAGCTCAGCACGACGAGGTCGCCGGGCTCGAAGCGCCGGTCGCTGAAGTTCGCCGCGAAGGGCCGCGACGCGCGGACGCGCGCGACGGTCGGCAGCGTCGCCGGCAGGGTTTTGTCGTCCGGTTGCTTCGCGTGCTTCGCGAGCCAGGACGGCGCGCGCGTGATCGACGGCCGCGGCTTCGGCGGCGCCGCGGCCGCGGCGCCGCCGTCGCCCCGGGGCCGCTCGGTTTCGGCGTCGTTGTCGCCGTTCTCGTCGTCGTCCGGCGCGAAGCCGGCGTCGACGGGCGACCGGCCCGTGCCGCGGCAGGCGACGCAGACGCACGAACTCCCGGACGGCAGGTCCTGGCGGCCCGCGCCGCCGCACTCGCAGCAGGGGCGGGTCGACGTCGCGCCCGCGGCCAAGTCCCAGACCCGCAGCACGCGGTCGCTGCCGACGCAGTAGGCCTGGTCGCCCCCGGGGACGCTCACGGCCGTCGTCCACCGGCCCGGCGCGCACCGGAGCTCGCCCGCGAGGCCGCCGCCGGTGCCCCAGAGCGCGACGCCGCCGTCGCGCGACGCGGAGAGCAGCCCCGCGTCGCAGAGCTCGAGCGTGACGCCGACGTCCTGGTGGAAGCCGACGGTCTCCGACGGCGCGGCGAGCTTTCGCGGGTCCCACTTGGCGACCTCGCTCGCCTTCGGGAGGCCGCGCGCGCGCGCGGGGTCGCCCCAGTCCTGGAAGCACCGGCCGAGCGTGTACCAGTGGTCGCCGTCGGCGGCGAGGCCGACGACGCCGCCGGGCACGGCGGCGCCCGTCTCGGAGGCGAACGCGCCGGGCTTTCGCGCGTCCCAGGCCCGCGCGGCGCCCGCGGCGTCGCCGACGACGAAGACGTCCCGCGCGGCGCGGCGCGCGACCCGCAGGCCGTCGGGCGCCGCCGGCGAGCACGCGACGCACGCGCCCTCGCGCGCGAGGTCCCAGATGCGGCACGTGCCGTCGTCGCCGCCGCTCGCTAAAACGCCCGACGGGTCCGCGACGGCGAGGGACCGCACGGGGCCCGCGTGGCCCGTCATGGACCGCTCGAGGCGCCCGTCGCCGGCGTCCCAGACCTTGACGCAGCCCACGGCCGTGCCCGCGAGCGCGCCGCCGCCGCAGAGCCAGCCCCGGCTGGTCCCCGGCGGTTCCAGCAGCGCGAGGTCGAACTGCCAGCTCTCGACGGCGACGACGCCGCGCTCCCCGAAGCTCGCCCGCGCGTTGCCGCCCAGGCCGCTGCAGCAGACGCGGCCGTCGGCGCCCGTCGAGTAGGCCACGGGCGGCGACCGCCGGGACACGCAGAGGCGGTCCACGGGGATCCTGTGGGGCAGGACGCACGCGGCGCCGTCGGGCTCCGCGGGGGGCGCCGCCGACGCCAGAGCGCCGTCGGCCACGGTCGTGACCTTGTGGCCGCCGCCGACCGCCACCTTGCTGCTCGTCGCCGCGGGCGGCATGGGCAGCCGCGCGTTCGCGGCCAGCTCGAAGCCCGTTAGTTCGACAGAAGCTTTCAGACTTGCACTTTTTATTGAACATCGTTAATATCTCTCACCGATGCGCCGTGCTGCGCGATGTGCCGCAGAGCGATTGCTGCGCTGAAGAGTGACGCACCGCCGCGCGCTTGTTGAGCGCTAGTCTTTTCGCCAAGCGCGCCGCAACGACAACACCGCCGCGCGCTTGCTGAGCGCGAGGCGTTTCGCCATGGCGACGGCGCCGCTCTTCGCTCACCTGGCGACGCGCGTCGTCCACAGCCCGCGGACGGGTCGCCTGCTCTACCGCGTCAACTGCCTGCCGCCGTCGACCTGCGACGTCGCCGCGCTGTCGCCGGCGGCGCGGCGCGCGTTCCGGGAGCTCGACGTCGCCGCGGCCGTGCGATCCTTCGTCCGCGGCAGCGCCGAGGCGCGCGCGCTGCGCGACTGGCCCGTCTTCTCGCCCATGTACCTCGGCCGCGTCGCGATGCGGGTCCTCGACAAGGACGGCACGCGCGTCGTGCTCTCGGAGCTCGACCCGAAGCTGCCGCGGGGCGCCGCGCTGCTCGACGTCGGCGCGGGCCCCGGCGACACGACGCTCCAGTTCTCGCCCCACTTTGCGTCGCTCGCGGCGCTCGAGCCGTCGCCGCCCTGCCGCCGGCTCCTGCGGGCTAGGGGCATCGACGCGCACGGCGACGCGCGCGGCCTCGCGGGCCGCGTTTTTGATGTTGTGAGTTTGCAGAACGCCGCGCGCGAATCAAATCTTCGACTCGACTTTGAACAATGTGATCGTATTCGCATGTTTCGACACAAGCATGTTCGATGTGCTTCGAGAACTCGATGAGAGCAACCGATCCGTCCCAAAATCAGCCGAATCGACATCGATGTGACCGAGCTCGAGAATTCTGAAGTTTGGTCGGGACGCCCCAAACCAGCGGTTGATTTGCACACAGGCAGAACGTGCTCGACCGGTGCGCGGACCCGCGCGGGCTCCTCGCGTTCGCCGCCGCCGCGCTCCGGGACGGCCCGTCGCGGCTCTGGGTCGCGCTGCGGCTCCCCGTGGACGCCTACCAGCTCAACTGGGACGGCAGCGTGGCGCCCCAGGCCGCGCCGCTGCCCGCGGACCTCGCGGGCGCGGAAACGTGGGAGGCGGCGGCGTCGGCGGCCGTCGACTTCCTCGAGGACGCGACGGGCCTCGAACTGGAGCGCCTGTCGCGCGTGCCCTACGTGACGATCGCGCGGCGCCGGCCCGGGGAGCTGCTCGACAGCCTCGACGACGCCCTCTTCGTGCTAAGGCGTCGTTCCGCGTGACTTTTGCAGCCCGGGGACCCCGCGCTCTCCGTTCGCGTTAGCGCGCCGGGACGAGGAGCGGCGTCGCCCCGGCCGCGAGCCACGCGCCGGACCGCGCGAGCGCGGCGCGCTTGGCGTCGTGGCCGTCGATCCAGTTCGCGTGGGCCGTGACGGCGCCCCGGGGCGCGTCGGCGGCCCACTTGGGCCGGTTGAAGGTGCGCTTCGCCGAGCAGAACGTCTCCGGCGGCAGCGCGCACGCCGCGGCCGCGGGCGCAGCGCCGCGCGCCGCGGCGTTGAACGCGGGCAGGTTCCGCTGGGGCCCGCCGGCGAGGGCCGCCGCCCAGGCGTCGAGGAGCTTCGCGGCGCCCGGCGACGGCCGCAGGGCGAGGAAGCCCGGGTTCAGCAGGCCCTTCTCGCGGTGCTGCGTCTGCGCCCACGCGTCGCAGCCGCTGGATCGGAGGTGGGGCCGCGGGTCCCCGAGCCTGGGCAGCACAAGAGTGATTCAACGTCGCTTTAACGTGAGTGTTCCGCGCGCGCGCGTTACGGAAAAAACATCCACGCTTCGAGACCGTTCCGAGAGATGATCGCTCGTCCAAAAATCAGCCGAAACGAGTGGAAAATGGCCGAGATCGGAGCCTTTGAAGTTGGGAATTTCGCTCTCTTTTGCTGCCCTGCCCCGAGCCAGACGACGTCGAGGTCGCTGAAGACGAGGCGCGACGCCGGATCCTTGGCCCAGGCACCGTCGGCCGCGAGCGCCGCGAGCTCTGCGGCGAGGTAGGCCGCGCGCCGCGCCATGAGTGTCGCGAAGCCGCGCGTCTCGAAGCCGAGCGCGCCGCCGAGGGGCGCGGCGCCGGCGGCGGGCGGCGCGACGGCGCGCCGGTAGGCGTGCCAGCCTGGCGGCGGCGCCGCGGCCCAGGCCTCGAGGTAGGCCGCCGCGGACTCGTCCTCGGCGATGGCGACGAGCCCCACGGCGCCGGCGACGCCGGACCGCTCGAGCCACGCGAGCCAGTTCTCGAAGAAGTCCGTGTAGTGGGCGCTGCACGTGACGACGACGACGGTCGCCGGCGGGCCGCCGAGCGGCGACGCGACGGACGCGAGCAACGATAGCAGGCAGCCGCGGCAGCCCATCATTACATCATTGTCCTCTCATTCTTTTTGTTGAATGGGGGCAACTCTGGCTTGGGCAGCCAGCTTATGCGCTTTCAAAAGTCTCGCTGCCGCCACACGTCGTCTCGAAACTTGTCAGGCGTCCGTGGGGCCGTCTCGCAGCAGCGCAGTTTCCACCGCGGAGCATGGCCTTCTCGCTCGCCATGAAAGTGGCCATCGAGAGCGGCGATGTACGAGGCATTGAAACCGCTTTGGCCACCGGTGACGACATCAACGCACGTTCTAGCGATGGACAAAGTGCGTCGCGACCCCCCATCTGGCGCCTTCGACGCCCCATCGCAGGGATCACACCAGTGATGCTCGCCGTGTACCACGACACGAGACGAAACAACCAGACAAAGGTTCTCCGTTATCTTTTGGAGCGCGGCGCGGATCCGAACGTCACGACGTCGAATGGCGAGACAGCCCTACAGGTCGCAGTGATTCTACTTCCCTGCGACGATCTCACGGAGCACGACTACGAAAACACGTTTAGTTTCGAGTCCCTCGTAGAAATCATGCAATTGTTAATCGCACACGGCGCAGACGTGAACGCCGTCGACCGAAAGGGGCGGACAGCGCTCCATTACGCTTGCCACGAAGGCGAAATCGATCTGATACGTCTACTGCTGCGACACGGGGCCGGACTTCCGAACAGCGCGATCGCGGTGTGCGCCCACGCTTGCGAACTCAATTCGGCGTCCGCGCACTACCAGGCGTGCCTCGACCTCGTCAGATGCGTGCGCTCCGCGGGTTCGTGGCAAAGGTACGTGCGAGAGCCGTCGGCGAACCTCAAAGGCCTCCGCTACCTCTGCCTGGCCGGCCGCGCGACGGCCCCGCCGAGCCTCGCGCGCCTCTTCGGTCGCCCGCCGGTCCGATCCCCAAAGGGCGCGGCGACCCGGTCGCGGCGCCGCGAGAACAGCATCGCGCGCACGCCGCTCCCCGAGGAGGTCTTCGCCCACGTCCTGGGGTTCTGGGACCCGCGCCGCGACGAGCGCCCGCCTCGTCCGAGTTAAGCCGGAGCCCTACTCGACCTCGAGGGACTTGCGCGCGTAGTCCGGGTTGTGCTTCTTGTAGTTGTCGAAGAGCTCGAGGAGCTTCGCGCAGTAGAGCGCGTGGTACTTGTCCACGTCCGCGGCGGTCGGCTCCGGGATGTGGGGCAGGCCGAGCGGCCGGCCGCGCGCGAAGACGAGCTTCACGGGCCGGGGCAGGGGCAGCCCCCAGCGGCCCCAGAAGAGCGTGAAGGAGACGCCCGCCGCGCGGCTCAGCGCCGCCAGGGGCCCCGCCGTGAGCGCCTCGAGGACCGTCGTGTTGCCGAACATGTAGGACGGCACGAGGTCCGCGCCGCTCCGCAGCGCGAGCTTGACGAAGCCCTTGCGCCGGCTCAGGATGACGGCCTCGCGGTCCCGCGACGACGAGAAGAGCTCGAGCATGCCGCCGACGTAGAGCGCCGCGGAGCCGCGCGCGAGCCGCTTCTTGAAGACGGCCGCGGACGCGTCCATGACGCCGAAGAGGCCGACGACGTCCTTGAGCAGCGGGATCCACCGCAGCACCGACGCCACGGCCGTCGGGAAGTCCTCGGCGGGGCTGCCCGGGTAGTAGACCGCGTCGCCGCCCGCGTCGCAGGGCGCGCCGAAGCCTGGGCGGGAAAAGGGTGCGAAATTCCCAACTTTGGAGGCTCGAATCTCGGTCATTGGACGGGCGATGATCTCGCGGAGCGCTCTCGAAGCGTGGATCTTATTTCTGGAACGATCGCGCGCGGAACACTCATGTTGAAGCGACGTTGAATCACCCTTTTCCCGCCCCGGCCGAAGCTCGAGATCATCGCGCACGTCGCCACGAACGGGAAGACGCCGTGCGGGTGGAAGCAGAAGACGAAGCGCTCGCCGCTCTTCGTCCGCGCCGCGACCTCGCCGTCGCTGAGCTCGTGGTACTCCTCGAAGCGGAAGTATTTCGGGATCTGCCGCATCGCGCGGCTCCGGAGGATGACGCCGCCGAGTGTGGGCAGCCATTTGCCCGGCACGCAGAGCGACAGCAGGAGCGGCGACGCCAGGGCCCACTTTTTGGCGGTCTGCGAGCCGAGGCACGCGTAGGCGACGGCGTAGGCGATGTAGACCGGCGCGAGGTAGTAGATGACGCTAAAGGTCGACGCCGCCGCGAAGCCCAAGCGGCGCTCGCCGGGCGTCGACTGCAGGTAGGAGCGCGTCGGCGCCGCCAGCGGGAGCTTCGGCGGCGGCTGGCACATGGCGAGGCAGCAGCTCGGCTCGGCGCTGCGGCGGGAGACGTCGGGCTGTGTCGACGCGGGCTGCGGCGCGAGAGACGTCATCACATCGTCATCGCAGGTGATGTTTGCCATCTCCACAGCTCGGTTGGCGAGCAGTGGCGAGCAGCCAATCGCGAGAGAGGAGTTGGCCCCCGGGGGGTGCCCGACGCTCTCCGCGCGCGCCGCAGCCAGCCGCGGCCCGCATCTCTCGCGCACCGCGCACCGACCGCACCCCACTCGCGCACCGCACTCGCGCCCACACCCCCGGAAACCATGTCGCGGCGCGGCGGCGCCGCGTCCGAGTCGCACCTCGACGTCTTCCGCCCCGGCCTCGACGACATGACGCTGCTGTCGAGCCCGACGCCCAACGGCATCCGCGACAACCTCAAGGAGCGCCTGGGCAAGAAGGTCATCTACACCTACATCGGCCAGGTGCTCGTCGCCATGAACCCCTTCACGTGGCTCAACCTCTACGGCGCGGCCGACGCGCGGCGCTACATGCGCCAGAGCCGCCTCGACGTGCCGCCGCACGTCTTCGCCATCGCCGAGGCCGCGTTCCGCGCGATGACCGACGAGGAGGAGTCGCAGTGCGTCATCATCTCCGGCGAGTCCGGCGCGGGCAAGACGGAGGCGTCGAAGCACATCCAGACCTACTTCGCGCTCTGCTCCGCGGGCACGGGCTCGTCCGAGGTCGAGCGCGTGAAGAAGGTCTTCCTCGAGTCGAACCCGCTCCTCGAGGCCTTCGGCAACGCGAAGACGCTCCGGAACAACAACAGCAGCCGCTTCGGCAAGTACTTCGAGCTCCTCTTCGACAAGTTCGGCACGCCCAAGGGCGGCGTCGTGACCAACTACCTCCTGGAGAAGTCGCGGACCGTCAAGCCCGGCGCGGGCGAGCGCAACTTCCACATCTTCTACCAGCTCGTCGCCGGCGCGGCGCCCGACGCGCGGCGCGCGCTCGCGCTCGCGGGCGCCGCGGAACACTACCCGTCGCTCGCGACCTGCGCGACCGTCGCGGGCGTCGACGACCGCGACGAGTTCCGCGCGACGCGAAAGGCCATGGACGACGTCGGCCTCGACGCGCCGACGCGGGACCTGGCGCTCCGCGTCGTCGCGTCGACGCTGGCCCTCGCGCGCGTCGCGTTCTCGCCGCGACAGGTCGGCGACGCCGAGGGGTCCTCCGTCCGCGACGCGTCGCCGCTCGAGGCGGCGGCGCGGCTCCTCGGCCTCGACGCGGCCGCGCTCACGGAGGCGCTCGGGCGCCGCGTCCTCGAGACCATGGCGCCCGGCGGCCGGGTCGAGACGTACGACGTGCCCCTGAACCCGACCCAGGCGGCGCTCGCGCGCGACGCGCTCATCAAGTCCGTCTTCTCCAAGCTCTTCGACCACCTCGTCTCCGCCGTCAACGACGCGCTCGACCCCCAGTACGACGACGACGCCGACGACGAGCTGTTGAACGTCGGCGTTTTAGATATTTACGGCTTCGAGATCTTCGACCGCAACGGCTTCGAGCAGCTGTCCATCAACTTCGTCAACGAGAAGCTCCAGCAGATCTTCATCGCGCTCACGCTCAAGGCGGAGCAGGAGGAGTACGTCGCCGAGGGCATCGAGTGGAAGGAGGTCAAGTACTTCAACAACCGCGTCGTCTGCGAGCTCATCGAGGCGAAGCGGCCGCCCGGCGTGCTCCTCGTCCTCGACGACGTCTGCAAGCAGATGCACTCGCGGCCCGGGAGCCAGGTCGACGCCAAGTTCCAGGACACGGTCTGCTCCTGCCAGCAGAGCCACCGCCACTTCGCCAAGGCCAAGCGCGGCTTCGTCGTCAAGCACTACGTAGCCGTTCCCGCGTCCTTTTTCGCCCTCGTTCGAACGACCCGCGATGATGCCACGGTTCTTATTTCATCGTCGACTGAAGGACAAGAAAAGTCCGCGCCGTGTTGACCGTCATAGCCTCCCACTGAGCGACCGCCCCCCCCTCTCCCCCGGCGACCGCGCGCGCGACGCCAAACGACCCGCGCGGCGCCTCTAGGCGGGCGACGTCACCTACGACGTGAACGGCTTCGCCGAGTCCAACCGCGACGAGCTCCGGGGCGACCTCCTCGCGCTCCTGTTGGCGAGCGGCGACGGCGCCGTGCGCGAGCTCTACGAGGACGAGGCCGAGGCGCGCGCCAGGGCCAAGGAAGACGCGGACCGCGGCGGCCGCGGCGGCCGCAAGGGCGCGGCCGGCCCGACGGCGGGCCGCAAGATCCGGGACCAGTGCGGCGCCCTCGTCGCCGCCCTCATGCAGTGCGAGCCCCACTACGTGCGCTGCGTCAAGTCGAACGACGACAAGCGGGCGCTCGCCTGCGACGACGAGCGCGTGAGCCACCAGTGCAAGTACCTCGGCCTCCCCGAGAACGTCCGCGTGCGCCGCGCGGGGTTCTGCTACCGCACGGAGTACCACCGCTTCCTCGAGCGCTTCAAGACGCTGAGCCGGGCCACGTACCCGCGCGAGTGGACGGGCAGCGACCGCGACGGCGCGCGGGAGATCGTCCGCGCCGCCGCGAAGCTCGGCGGGCCGCTCGCGACGCTCGGCGACGGCGGCGAGACCCAGTTCGGCCGGTCCAAGCTCTTCGTCAAGAAGCCCGAGACCTACTTCGCCCTCGAGAAGCTGCGGGACGACGCGCACGCGCGCTACGCGGCCAAGATCTCGCGCGCGGGGCGCCGGTCCAAGGATCTGCGCGACTTCGTCGCGCTGGCCAAGGACGTGAGCCGCCGCTTCGCGAAAGCGGGCAAGCGCCGCCGCGCGAGCTCCGCGAACCGGCCCTACGCGGGCGACTACCTCCGCGACGACGCCGCGCGGGCCGCGGTCGCCGCGTGCGCCAAACATCGCGGCGACGGGTCGCGCGTGCTCTTCGCCGACGGCGACACCTTCTCCCAGCTCGTCAAAGACGGCAAGGGCCCCGCGGCCTTTTCGCGGCGCCTCGTCGCCTGCACGGCCAAAAGCCTCTACGTGCTCGAGGACCGGGGGCCCGGCGCGCCCTTCCGCCGCTTCGCGCTCCGCCGCGTCGTCGACGTCGACGCGCTGCGGTCCGTGGCCGTGTCGACGCGCGCCGACGGCGTCGTGGTCGTCTCCTGCGGCGCGCCGCAGGACGCGCCCAAGGCCGTCAAGGCGGACTTGGTCAAGAGCGGCGCGTGGCAGAAGAACGGCGACGTTTTGGAGTGCCCCGCGTCGGGCAAGAAGTTCGGCGTCTTCGGCGCGCGCCGCCACCACTGCCGGTCCAGCGGGCGCATCTACGCCGCCGAGGCCTGCGAGGCGCGCCAGGCCTTCCCGGACCGGGGCTGGCCCAAGCCCGAGCGCGTCCGCGACGACTTGTTCGGTTTAGAACCGTGCGACGCGCTCGAGGACCTCGTCCTCTACTCGGAGCGCCGCTCCGAGCTCGTGGGCGTGCTCCTGCGCGCCAACGGGGGCGCGACGCTCGCGTGCGCGGACGGCGTGGCGTTGCACGGCGCGGCCGCGGCGTCCGTGCGCCCCGCGGCGGCGCTGCGCCTCGGCGCGTCGTCCGCGGGCCGCCGCGGCGCGGAGGCGCGGCCGCCGACGCTCGCCGTCGAGGGCGACGCGCTCCTCCTCGACGCGCCGCCGGGCCTC